CGTTGTAACCTGGGATGTGAGCTGCATGTTATAGAAAGCCCAGGATGGTCGTGATAAGATCTTCAGTACCTGAGATCTACCAACTCCATTTCCCTTTGCTAAGAGGAGGGAGATGGACTGGTGACCACTTGAGGTCCCCCTTCACACGCTGCTTACAACATCTGCCAGAACAAACAGCAACTTCCCACCTTGGCTGGATGGAACAGCCTGCAGTTCCTGCCTTCACAATGACATCTACTGGTCACTCCTTAAATAGTCTTCCCCAAACCTGGGTCAAACTCGAGAGCAACTGATACTCCTCAAACCCCTCCACACAAGTCTAGCCAGCAGAAAGGAGAGAAAGCATCCCTTTATTGGACCAGTTTCCAGTCTTTCCTCCACAGAACACGTGCAGAGGAGAACACTGCAGCACAGGATCTCAGCCAAGGGCAGGCAGATCAGCCCTCCTCTGCCTCCAGCCTGGTTCTGTCCCTTTCCATGCCACAAGGCTTACCTCACCAGGGAGAGGAACAGGATTACTGCAAACCAGTTGGCCCACCTAGGTTAGTGTCACCCTGGCTCAGTTCCTCAGCCACATGAGCAGCAGCTTAGCGACTGAGGAGCTGCTGCAGCAGCAACAGAAACGAAGGCAGTGATGCCTCAGGGCCCATTTTATAGCAGCACCTCGGAGCACTCTCTCAGGTAAGCGCTTCTGACCGTCTCAGACTCCTTACCGGCTGCCTGCTCTGCAGTCCCACTCCTTGAAGCTTCTTGTCTTCTCGAGCCAGCAGCAGGATTTTCCCTTCTGTCCCAATCTCACGTTCACCTGACAAAAGGACGACAGTTAACTCCAGCAGTGGGTACGCAACAAGTCTTGATGGGACCAAAACCTGACTGTTTGGACCACCCCTGCAAACCCATAACAGAACTCCTCCACACCCTCAGACACCAGATGCCACAAGGCTGGCCAGTAACCAAAGAGACCCCAGTATTAACCACTTAAACTGCTTGATAAGGCTCCACTCCTCTGCAGGGCTGGAGTGCTCTATTCTGGTGACCCTCGTGCCCTTCCCCAGGCGGTACGAGGGCACACGGCAGCACGCCACATGCTCAGGATTACTGGTGACAAACCTACACAGTTTGGGGCAGGGGAACGAAGATGAATTTTAAGAGTGAGATCCTTACTAGGAGCTTTTTCCGGCGTGCCCAGGTTCAGCGAGTTGTCAGCAGTGCCCACAGCAATGCCGTTGACAGGAGAGCCGCAGTCGGCCACGACGCCCAGACAGGCAGATTTGCCACAGTCCCAGAGACGGGCAGTGCCATCTCTGGAGCAAGAAAGGACATTTCTGCCCCGATCCACAATGGCAGTGTCCAAAATACCTGTGTCAAAGCAGAGGCCGCGTTCAAACAGAGGGCACAGGAGGCAGGGAGATAAAGCACTCCATTTCCTACGGCCAACTTGACCACGAGCCCCAGGCCACTATCCCCAGAGCGCCACCAGTCCCACGCAGCCCATTGGTGTGGGGTGCAATGTGGGGCAGGGAGCCACGGCACCTGGGAAGAGGTGTATGTGGAAGGACGACGCTCCCAGCAAACCACATGCCAGAGTGGGAGCCACCACCCAGCACCAAGGTGAGATATCAGCAATAAAACGACTGGTGACACCTCACCTCCCACTGAGCTGATACCGTAGCTGCTGCTGAGTTTCCACTTCCATCATTAACCTCTAACTGGGGCAAAAAAGAGCCTGGCCCAGCGCTCTTATCCCCAAAGTTGTGTGGGGCAAGCAGCGCACGCATCATCCAGCCACAGCACCAGCACAAGAGCAGCCTTTGCGGGTGCTAACATCTCCCAAACACCTCATTTCACTGTGGGATGTGGAGTCTAGATCTGACAACTGACACAGTGGTTTTTTGCAAGGGAACAGCCAGATGGTTAGAAGATTTCACGGACACTTTCTCTGCACAAGCAGGCATTAAACGTGGCAAGCCGAAATGACAAGCCAAGCCGAGCAAACCGATTGCAGCAGTGTGAGCTGGAGTTAGAAGCAGGGAATAAAGTCAACTTCAGGAGCCAGCCAGCGTCGTTCTGGCCAAGGTTCTGTTCCACCACCTGCCACGTTCTGTTTACTGGGCAAAGTATTTTCAACCCACACAAACAGATCCCATGAGAACAA